GGATGACATTTGCCAGCCATCACTTGTTCAGAGACTGGTGTACTTTCTCTCACCCCATCAAGACAAAATCTCTCTCTTGCAAACAGTATCACCAGGTAGTTTGAAAACCAGCCCTCCAACACTCTTTCTTATCATAGTTGGCTCCACTTTCAGCACTTATAAATAGCTCTATTTGACTATGGCACTTTCTTGTCACTCACTGCTCAAAAGGGCAGGGGTTTGGGAAGGCAACACATTTGTAAATAGAACCTATATCAAGGAATCTTCTGGAGGTTTGGGGGAAAGTTTGATGAGGGGCCTTTGGCAGGAAACTGGAGTAACAGTTGTTAAGTGGACTTCTCTTTTGGAATCTTTTGCAGAATACCAGTCATAAGCACTATGCAATCCCACTTCACAAAGCTCTAATGTTTGGAATAATACTATATCATAAAATCTATTGTTGCACCATTATGAACTGGGAAAATACTCTTTTGATGTCTTTTCTTTGCATAGCAGGATGCTTTATATGAGACTAATTTAGTTCCCTTTTTTTCTAGGAAGAGATTTTCCAATATCTTGCAAAACTTAAAAAAATAATGTTTACTGTTAATGCTCAGTGTTTGCTTTGTTTTGAATGATGTTAATATTAAGACTCGAGCTTTTCAGCATGCTTTCAGGCACACGGTTGGTAAATCTGTGACTTTCCCATATATAAATTTACTTCCTTCCTTCTGATATGATTATAAGCAAGTGCCCAGTCATTGGCAATAATCTATTCAAGATGAAGATCTTTTCAAGAAGCTTAATGTTTCTTTTGTACTAGACAGCACAAGAAGATGTAGACCAGCAAGCTGACTGTGATATTGAAGTGCAATACATTTGGAGGACATGGACACCAAGTAGAGGAAGCATGCTATAGGCCATGACCAGCACCTGCTGTGTATCCATTTCAAATTTGCCATTGTTCCAAGGACAAACACTATTTGCAATCTCTTAAACTACCTTTGCCTCTATCTTTTTTTAAACATAACTTCTTTTAAATTTATAACCAGTGTGATGGCAGCAGCAGGTCCATCTTGACAGCAAAGTCTGTGTCAAATTTCAAGTGGATTTGCTTTTTGATTTAATGCACATCCTGCTTTTTTGTTGTTGTTATAAAAATAACTCCAGGAATCACAGTAAAGATTTAAGAACAAAACATAAAAATAAGACAATTGATGCATATTTGACTCAGGACAAAAGTATATTAACATAAATTGAAGTTGAGCTCCCTCCCCCAAATTTGCTGCATCTCAACAATAAGAAGGGACAATTTTGTTGCGCTTTCATAATTTAATACAGAGTCCTCTTGCACTCAGTGGCACCTACTGGTTGAAAAATCAACCACCAAATACACTGGGGGGGGCGGTCAACCATTCCTTTTTATTATTTGACTTTATTTTTAATTATTTATAGTGGCTGCTTCTCCTAGGAGATTGATAGTCTTCTCAGAAAAACGGAAAATCAATACACCCATGTCAAACAGCCCATCTCTTCCAAGGTTTGTCTGAGTAATTGGAAGAATTGATTTAAAATACAAAAATGTGAAGTTTGACCCAGAAAACTCTCAATACAATTGTGCCTCTGAATTTTTCTATCTCCTTCAGGAAACCAATTTCATTCTCAAAATGTTTTGGTCAAGAAAAGAGCCTTTTCCATTCCACATTTGTGTGTGTGTGTGTGTGTATAGACCATCTACTTTCCTATATGATCTCTCCAACACATACATACACACATCTCAAATAGCAGGAATCCTGTCAGGCCTATTAATCTCCTGGCAGTTTAATATTCTTTTGTAAAAACAAAACAAAAAAAAGACAGATATTCATTCTTCTTGTAGAGAAAGTAAAAAATCACCAAGGCCAGCAGCATCCAGCAATCAAATAAGAAGAAAATGTTTCTAGAACAAATTCCATTCTGAGACCATCACATCCCAGTTTATCCCCAAAGCATAATAAATTGCCTGTACAGGAAGCTTTGTATTGGGAGAAGAAGGAAAACATCCCTTTCAACTTGAAACTAAAGGTAGATCTAGGCCAAGGATAAGCTGAAGATAAAATCATGAAGAGCCATCCCTCAAAAATGGGTTAGTAAGGTATTTTTATGAGGCTAGCAGGAGAGCCTAGAGGAGAAGCATTCCATAGTTTAGAAGCCATGTGAAAGGAGGTTCTTCTTCATGATTGCTAAGGTTCAGAAGCACAGGTCATCCCTGCAATGGATTTTCCTGCAGATCTTAATATTCAAGTAAATTTATAAAAGGATACACAGTTCTTCAGACAACCAGGCCCTAACCTTTAAGGGTTGAAAGATTATCTTGAAGTGTGCCTGGAATTAAATAGGGACATTATATGACTCAGATTTAATTGCACTGATTAGTAACCAATGGCCTCATTTTAGGTTCTTCATATTGCATCATTTGAGGTTTCTGGACAATTTTCAAGTATGGCTCCACATATAGCACATTGCATTAATTAAATTATGATACTTCTAAGGTGTGGAGAACTGCCAAATTCAATTAGCTCAGGAATGGTCATAGTTAACTCATTAGATGTAATTGTACCCAGGAATGAGCCTATGCTTTCAAATGAATAAGTTGGGCTACTTATTGCTAATGCCACACATAATAATTAGCAATGTCTCAACAGAGGGGTGCCTTTTAGGATATCATTACTAGATACACCTCTTCAATTTTTAAAAATTGCAGAACAATGGCATATGTGCTTCCAACAGAGAGGAAAGTTCAGGAGTTTAAAAAAATAATCAGGTGAGCATGGGTAATACCTGCCTTATTCTATCTAAGGTAGGGCAGACCCATTTTGGAAAGCTTTAAAAAATATTCTGCTTTGTCAGATGTTTTCACTAATGTTAATACTATTAGTAATACTGTGATGAAAGAAGCAGAAATAAAATTTCAGTGGGGTTCTCTTTTGAATTACAAGAACAAAGGAAGCTGATAATTCACAACTGTTTAAAATAGGAATAAGCAAGTTGATGCTTACAAGATGTCTGGACAATAATATCTACAGCGCCTTGTTATTCGACATGCTGGTTGATGCCAATTGGATGCTGAAGAGCATAAGGTTATCTATTTCTGCACTGTACATTTTTAAGCAGTAAAAGTGTTCAGGCACAATTGAACTATACAATGCAATCCTCTCAACACAAGTAACAAATCATTTATAATTTTAATTATATTATTAGATTCAAATTTCTGCCTGAGGTCACAAAACGTTTTATATTATCTCTGGAGTCTACCTTAGTTTGTTAGGAACATTGGTTCTTGGCAGGCATTATTGTTCTGCTTTTGTTATTATGTTGCTTATGTTTTCTTGTTGCATTTTAATCAGTGACTTTGCAGTGTTTAAGATTCCTCTTATTATTTAGTGAGACACAACTGTTTCCCCATGATAAAGATAGAACAAAATATGTGGGGTTTTCACCCAAAAATAAAATAATTATTGCAGCCTCAATGCATAATTGATACACATTTTTGACAAAGGGTTGTCAGAATTCTAAATTATTTCAAAAGCATCTCATTCAATAGGTTGTTGATTATCATATATTGGTGTGCAGTTGGATCACAAAAATGAATCCCACAGGGTCCAAATTAACAAAATGCAATTGTTTACATGGCATACTTTATCCAAAAACATAAATCATATTATGAGTTTTATATGATGGCTTGGTTCATACACTATACCATGACAATCACTGGGTTCCTTAAACATTTTTAATGCCTTCAAGTCAGTGTTGACTCATTGCAAACTTCCTGGACTAGTCTCTGCTTTCTTGGTAAGATTTCAGATATATCCTCCTTCCTAGGGTTCAGACAGAATGATTGGCCCAAGCTCATCAGTTGGCTTTGTGCTTAAGCCAGGATTAAAACTCATGGCCTCCCAGTTTCTAGCTTGGTGGTTTAACCACTATACCAAACTGGCTCTCCTAAAATATGTTTGACCCAATCCAATTTTAGCCTAGCCTAGTCCAGAGTATTGCACAACCCAAGCTAGAAAATGAATAGATGAAGATACTTAGGCAATCTGAAAGCTAATTATGTCAATTCAATCATTGTGTAAGTATTTAGTGTTGGTCCAAAAGTAAACAAAACTGCTTGGATGCCTATGTTCCTCAGGATATCATCAAATCAACACATCTCCCAGGTTTCGTCATTTCACACTTGCAAGGGATTTTAGGATGCTTTACCTATATTGTAAAATCATTAGGGCTTTTTTTTTTTTTTGCTCACCCATGTTATTCATGCATTCTACCATTTTTTTCTTCTACAGTGCTGAGCATAATTTAAACTTGTAACATAAATGAAGATAGGCTGTGCTCTATTAATTATAAAATACTTACAATATCAGGAATAGCCCTCCATACATTGAAGTATAGGGTGGTATTTGTTTCTATTTCATTTCAAAACCACTAACAGTTTTGGCTGATTAAAAGATTATGAATAGTGTGGCATCACTGAAAAATTAGAAGAAAGCCAACTCCTAAATAGAGTGGAATCTGAAGGTGTAAACTTTTCCTCTCATCAAATCTATTATGCTGTCCAATAAAGTCAAATTTGCTTTTTAAGATTATCATTTAAACTTTAAGACTGGTAGAGAGCAAAAAAATGTACAACAGAAGTTCCATCCATTATATTCCTAAGGTCTTTCAGTGGACAGGTTCCACCTGATGTACAAACTAAAGGAAATCCATAGTACAAAGGACAGAATGGATCGATCTCCTAGTTCCTGAAGAAGCTGTAAATATCCCTTTCCATATAAGGAGAAGACTTTCCCTGTCTGAGCAATTCTGTAAAAATAACTCAGGAATGGAGAGATTTATCAATGGGGGAAGCTTTATCAGCTGTCCCAAGACCACCAAGACAGGCACAGCTGGGCTTTGTCAATGACACTGAAACTTTTCTTCTATCTCACACAAACAGACACAAACACATGTATAAATGTATACATAATTACAAATGATCATACCTGAACCAGCCCAGAGTAGCATTGGGGTGCCGGAGGATAGACAGGCAGGCTGTAGGGGTGCAGAACCACAGCTGGAGGGGACAACATGGCACATAATAAAGGAAGGGCCCTACTACTAAGTCCCAAAAGGAGTCAAAAGTGCCTCTGTTCAAGCAGCTTTGGCACCAGCTGAGGGAGTGTTGAGTGGCAGATGGGACAGTGCCATTGAAGGACGCCAACAGCTGTCAAAAACACAAGCGTCTGTCGCAAACCCTTTACTTAGACCATCCTAGTAGTATCATATGCTATTATACTGAGTTGTACGCAGTCCTAAATATTCTTATTTTATATACATATTTATTTATTAAATTTATATGCTGCCCATATCATTATCTAAAGCAACTCTGGGTGGAGCACTGAAGATACATGATCTTTTTCCATGTAAACACATATTTATCAATCATTTCTTGGATAAATCATTATATCATATTGCCTAATACATGCATTTGAAAGCAATTCTAGTTTTGTATATTATTTTTACAAAAATACTTATATATGCATTCTTGCCCATTTATTTTGATTGGAAAACTCTAGTTTAAAAGGTTTGATAAACCCAACTGAATTTTAATTCACACATGGATTATACTTGCCAACTTAAAAACAGGTCAAATGTATTTCCCATGCCTAATAAATATGGTTCCTGAATGTGTCTGTCTAACATTTCCTGCTTTTTAAATTATTTAAAGCCCATTCCTTAATAAATATACATCTTTCCACTGTTTAAGATTCAGTGATGAAAATCTTTCTTTCTTAGCGCTGGCATGTTTTTGGTTCAACACTGCAATTATTGTTTGGATATTATTTGTGTCATTGGATTTTTTTCTGGCTCTCATACTGCAAACCTCCTGATTGAAAAGAAGCCAAACCATTTTGTTTTTTTGTTGTTGTTGTTTTTTACAAAATGGCTAACACTACCACAGAAATAGATTTTGCCCTCCACTAATTTTTTGTTTTTTAATTTTTATTGATTTTTCAATTAAAAACAATAACATAAATATGATGCTTTTTATCACAATATCAACCAAGAAAATAACACTCAATACATTCACGGAAGTGTCCGGTGTCCCCCTCCCTGCACCCCCCTCTTTCACTTACCACACCTTCCTCCCCCCAAACCTACAACCTCTCCTCCTTCCTCCCTCTCTCCTACCTCCCTTCCTCTCTCAACCATCCCATCTGGTGCAGTTGGGGTACCCACCGGACACCTCCTTAAAAAATCACATATAAATCTGCAATACATCAATTTATATACCTATCTATTCCCTTTCCCCCCTCCCCCCCCAGGACTTCCCAGAGCTGATCCAGGTAATAAACACACAATAATCCAATTCTATTCAAAGCTACTCATTATTACTACACACTAGTATAAACTTACCATGACTCTAAAACAACATTTACATACAAATTTTATAAATATTATCAATATTTGTTGTATATATTTATGTTTAAGGTTTTTAATCAAAAGCTACATGATAATTATTCAATTCATACTTTCTCTGAATATAATCTATCCATCTTCTCCACATTGAGATAAATTTCTCCTGAGAATGGTCCTTCAGGTACGCGGATATTTTTGCCATCTCTGCAAAATATGATACCTTCTGTCTCCAATCATCCATAGTTGGTAACGTCTTTTTTTTCCAATTTTGAGCAACTAATGTCCTTGCTGCTGTTATACAGTACAACATCAATTTCATTTCTTTTTGATCCAAATTGTCCATAATACCCAATAAAAATAACTGCGGTGTAAATTTTATCTTTTTCTTAAAAATCTGTTGAATATTCCACCAAATCTTAATCCAAAAGGCTTTAACATCCCTACATGTCCACCAAATATGATAATAAGTTGCGCCCATACTATCACATCTCCAACATTTTGGTTGCAAGTTCGGCTACATGCAAGACAATTTTTGGGGGTCCAAATGCCATCTATAAAACATTTTATAAAAATTTTCCCTTAGATTCTGTGCTTGAGTGAACTTGACATTTCTTACCCATTGTTTTCCCAAGTTTCTAACATTATTGGTTCTTGAATATTTTGAGCCCATTTAATCATACAATCTTTAACTAGTTCTGTTTCCGAATCAAATTCTATCAAAACACTATATATTCTCCTAATATGGGCTCTACTAATTTTTTTAATGATGAGGCTGTCTAATCTTTTCTCCTATTTCTATGCTTCAGATATTTGATTTAGTTGGAAGATACAAATAAAGGCTTCCTGCTCCCTCAAGTCTAATATGATTATTACAAAACTCATATTACAAACAAGAAATATAAAAATATCTAGATACAAATGTATGAAATAAATAAATGGGAATGCAGCTTTATATTTTGCATTAGCTTTTTTTTTTAATTAAAGGATGAATGTAGAAGGAAGGGAAAAATGGTTTCATACTAAAGGTGCAAATCCCACATATGTTCAAAACTGCTTTGAAGCAAAGATGTGAACATTCACCTCATCCGAGGAAGAATTCTGGAGAAGTAAAAAAAAAAAAAATATTATGGGATCTTTGGATCAAATTTAATAAAAGTATCTATGACAAACTTTACCTGGTTAAGTAATTGTTAAGAGCAACAGCAACAGAAACCATTGTTCTGAAGGCCAAACTTCTTGAGCATAATTAAGACCCACGTTGTAGGCAGAATTAGGAGAGTGGCTGAGACCTTTGCTTTAGGGGTTTTTTTCTTTTCCTTATGACCAGTTGTTTAGTGACCATTCAAAGGTACAATAGACTTCCCTGGAGCATTTATATACCCAGATTCAAAGTTCTGGTAACCACCTGTATGCTGCAGTCTTGTGACTGCACTTTGAGTGCTCAGTAATCAGCCTGCATCTATAGCCATTTGCAGCATTTCATGGTCACATGACTGTTTTATGATTGTTTCCCCCCAAATTGGCTTTTACATCCAGTTTTCAGCAAAACTGGCCCACTGCAAACCATTGGTTTGCTTAAGGGCTGCTGCAAAAAAGGCCATAAAATTAGGTTGGTTATTTGGGTTTTATAACTGCCTATAATTTATTTATATTTTATCTGTTAATATAGATAAAATATTTATATTTTGTCTATAATATATTTATAATTTATAAATATATTTATAACTATCATGACTTATGGCTGTAATGAACAGGCTTCATTATGATCAAAACCTGTAAAATGGTTGGGTATTTCTTATCAGAAATATACCTGCTGAGGAGGATTTTTAAAATTAAGCCAAAGGGTTTGTGAATTTAAGTTGCAAATTATGTAAAATTAGGGATGTCCCGGAAAAAAATGCAGTCATCGATAACTAATTATAAACTAGCAAACTAATAGGGTTATCATTAACCAGGCAAAAAGATCAGAGTGCAAATTTTAATATACCTCAAGTGCATGTGCATATTTATTAGAATAAATAAATACAACACTCACCATTGTGCTTTTTTCTGTTATTAGATTATATCTGTAAGAGTTTTTATTTATCCAGGGGCCTTGTGCAGTGAGCCACACCAGGATCTAAAGATTTAATTTTAAAGGTTGGCAATCACCTGATTGTACTAGGAAAATATAAAGCTTTACAAATCAAATCATTGGCCAAAGAATTGTCAGCATTGACTTAAGAAGATAAGTAGAGCTAAAGGGATTCAGGCCCAAAGGCTTTTTGGAACTTTGCAGCAGCACAGGAGGGCTCCTTAATTTAAGACCATGTAATCTACCTAGCATGGTCCCAATGCTGAACTAGCTATGGTCTCACAGCTAAGCTATTAGGAATACATTACTATTTAAGGCAAGAAGAATGGTATTTTTCAAAACATTCAGAATATATTGGGAATTGACAAGGAAACTGCCATGATTATCTTACAGCTGCATTGGATGTGGAAATTTGTTTTTTCACCCTGGCATTATTAGGACTTTTTTGTATTTGAGTACAGTACAATAATCTTCATAATTTCTCCCACTCAATTTCTGTGCCACCATCTCATTCTTTTTTTCCAGTTTCTTGGGAAGGGACGCACTTAGTGGGTTCCATAGTTTGGGGAAAAAAGGCTGAAAAATAGTGTTTCTTGTAAGTAACCAAATTGCCAATACTGACAAAAAACAAAAATAATTGCAAGGATTATACTTTAAAGCAAGAAGTTGTAACTTAAAGAAACAAAGCAAAAAATTCAGCAGCTTTAATATGAAAAGTATGTGTCCACATGCTACCTGCTTATTTATCGTGTCCCACTAGGGTTCCCTGGTGAATTTATCTCCCTTTTTTAAAAGCTGAGCAAGTACTTTTGCTCTGAGAAATCACTGCCAACTTGTAAACCAGGATTTACCCGTAAAGTGGCCCTTATCAGTTAGTAGCTCAAACCCTCAGGATGGAAAATATGACAGACTGGCTCTATGGATTTTTGGAGAAAAGCAGAAAAATAATCTCCCCTTAAGAAAAGAATCCATTTCTCTTCTCTCTCTCTTTTTTTTTTTTTTTGCTTCCAGCTTCTGAAGAGATTTGTACAAATATTTATTCAATGTTCTTGCTGAAACTTGAAAGCCACATCTTGTCCACATTTTAAACACTTCACCTATTTCTTTAATTGTGATGAGTAAGATGATCGAGGATTCTTGATTATCGAAGAGCAGCAACAAATGAATTCTTGGTAGCTTTATCCTAAATCATCTTTTTGGGGGGAAGGGTGTTTAATTTGGGACCTATAAGGATACCTGAGGAACCATCTTGTCCCAATTACATCAACCCATCCCACCTGGTCAAGCAGGAAGGATATGCTACATGTCCCATCAGTCAAAGAGTTTTGACTAGTGTGTTCTAGGATGCCTTCTCAGCTGCTACCCCCAATCTATGGAACATCTTATCCCCAAAGATGAGGTAGCCACCCCTTCTGGTTTCCCAAGAGTGTTTTACAATAAACAAAAGATTTAGAAATTCAGTAAAATCAGTAAAAACATACCCAGGTGCAGATGTACTATCCAATCATAATCTAAAAATCCAGCTAAAACTAAAAAGGATGAAAAACCCGAATATTGCTAAATCAAGAATTGACAAGAGACTTCATCATTAAACATGGAGGTAAGATAAAAGAACTAGAAATTCATTTAAGAGAAACCAACAACCTGAATGATGAAGATGTAGAAGTGAATTGGAATAAATTTAAAAATGCAATAGTAGAGGTAACAAATTCAAAACAGAGAGAGGGGTACCACAAGAAACAACAGTGGATGACGGAGGAAATTATTCATCTCATAGATGAAAGAAGACTATAAAAATAAAAACAAAGAAAAATACAATGAATTGCAGAAAATAATTAGAAGATAAATTCTGCAGCTCTTCAGTCGAATATATGAAACAGGAAAGATACCAAATGATTGGCTAAAATCAACCTTTGTGACAATCCCCCCCCCAATAAATGCAAAGAAGTGTACCAAATACAGAACAATAAGCTTAATGAGATATGCCCTGAAAATATTCCTGAGAATAATTCTCACAAGAATATACAACAAAATTGAGGAGCGTAGGTAACACACAATTTGGTTTCAGAAACAATCTTGGTACACGAGATGCGCTATTCAGCATTCAAGTGCATGTACAGCATTGTAGAGATATCAATCACAGTGTTTACATGTGCTTCATTGATTTTGAAAAAGCATTTGATAAAATAAGACACAACAATTAAATTATAAATAAATAAATAAGCCTAAAATTGAAAATCAGGCTTGTCAGATGTTATATTTTTTTCTATCCTGCTCTATGAAATAGAGAGTTGGTTTCTGACAGAAGGCCATCTGAAGAGACTAGAAGCATTTGAAATGTGGATTTATGTATAAGCTGGGTTGACAAGATCAGAAATGAGGAGGTGATAAGCCGCCTGGGAAAGCCAAGGGAAATCATCAAAACAATTAAAAAATGAAAGCCAGAATATTTTGGACATGTGATGCGACACCCAGAAAAATACGGCATATTCCATTTAATCCTCCAGGGAAAGATTGAAGGCAAACGAGGTCCAGGCAGAAGAACATCATGGCTTCAAAATCTAAGGGACTGGTTTGGACAAAACTCAGCAGCACTTTTTCTTGTGGCTGATAAAAATAGGATCGCCAACATGATCGCTAACGTCCCATAACGGATATGGCAAAAGAAGAAGAGTGTTAAGACCTACTTTGCCAATTATTATGGGGGTCTAGAAGTACAGTGCAACTTTGGAAATGGCGGCTTGAAGACACTTCTGCTGTTTTGTTAACCTCATAGCCTTTTGAATTTTGTACATTGATTTTTATTTTTACTTGGCATTTTAACTTGTTTTTAATTCTCTTTTTAATTTATGTTTTTATTCATGTATTTATATGGTTTCTTATGCTGCGTAAATCACCCAGAATCATTTAGGTGAGATCGGCAGTGTAGAAATTTAATAAATACATTTTCTGACTACTCAAGTTGTCCAGAGATTATTAATAAATCCTTTCCAAATATGAAACACTGCAATATATATTTTTTAAGAGAAAATTGTGATTGACAGTTTATACATACATAATTCAGCAGCCAGGGGACAATTCAGGATGCTGTAGATTTCAAGGGAGATGATTGAAACAGCAGTTATGGTGATATGAGACATTTATGCAAATGCTTTATTCATTTGTGAAATGGCAAATGAGAAAAACTTTTCCCATCCTTTCCCCCCAACCTTCAAATCAGTCCAGTTGCCCATTGTTTTCATATGTCTGAAACAAAGCATTTTATTGGGCTCACTTAACTTTTAATATTGTCTCATCAACTTTCTGTAGAAACAGTGGTGACAGTGGCCTCCTGGTGGTCAGTGCAACTTTCTACATAAATGAGGTATAATCTTCTCCTACACCAAAATCACATTCTACCAGAAAAAAAAAAATATAAATTCAAGAACACATTTATTTGTATTGCACCATTTCATTTCTACTCTTTCAGGATTTTTTTTCTTTTGGTAAAAACATAAAACTTGGAACATTTATATTTATTCTACATCACAAAATAGGCAATGCAGCCTAGAAAAGGATAAAATCACATAAAACTGGATAATGAACTGGGTAGTGCATTATCCTCCCATGTCCTGACCACTGTTTTGTCCCATATTAATATTTGAACTGTTCACCATACTCTGTTCTCTGGCACAAGGAGGATTTTTTTTCCTTTAGAAATAAAAGAAATGAAGAAAAAGAAGCAAATATTTTCACTTTCTGGGAGATGACCATCACTTCTTTATTCACTGTGCCAGATTCTTGTCCTTTAATCATTATATGGTAGCTAAAAATTCAATAGGCACAAGTACTCGTAGTACCTTCCCGATAGTGCTGAACTACAATTCCCAGCAGCACCATCCAATGAGGAAGGATGCTGGAAACAGAGACTCAGGAAGGCCACTATTTTAAGAGATCATTTTTGGGAAAATATTTCTATTGAATTTCTGTTAGCCAGGAATTAAAGGCAAGCAGCACCTTAGAAGCTACAATGTAGTAGCCAAATTATTACTCTCTTCTAAACCATGATTCTAGCAACATATTATTCTCCCCCTCTCAATTTCTGCCTTCTCAACATCAACCACAGCTATCCCAGAATTATTAAACTTCTCATTTTCCTTCAAATAGTTTCACAAGGAAACCTGAGATAGAAGGCAAGTCTCTCTGCATAGTCTCCCAAACTAAAGTTACCCTTCTTTTCTCACATTTTAATAGTTCTTAAGTATCTCCACATTCTCCCAACTGGCTCTTCAAATGACTCTCCTGACATCTTCAATTTTCCAGAACAGCCTTTTCCAAAATCAAATGTGAATTCCTTAAGGCATGGTCAACAAATTGTTTCACCCGAAGAACTCTTGGATATATTAGTGGAATGGCTTTTATAGAAGAATCCTGAAAACACAACATCAAGGTCTGCTGGGTCTACTGAGACCCACATTCTACTGTTGCATTTATATCATAGGTTGAGGATGAAAATAAGAAATGGGCATCCTATCAAGCCCTGCGCATAAACTAACTTCCAACTTTGATCTACTTGTCTACAAGGAAAATCCTATATAGGCCTGGGTATCATGTAATAGGCTATGGTGGGGACCCTTCACCATTAGGTGCCATGTCCTTTATTCCATATCATCCCAGAAGAAGCCAAGCCTTTAAAAAGCAAGCAGAGATAGAGGGAAGTCAGGATCATTTCTTAGAGAAGGTAAGATGGATTCTATCATCAGCACCCAGAGTGGCAGTATACACAGGAATGGAGTGCTGCCTTCTTCCCTTCGTCACATGCAGCAGGTGGTGCAAAGGAGTGCAGCAGAGAGAAAAAAGATCTTTAGACCAGGCAGTTTCTTATGGGAGGCCTGGGATCACCTCACAGTGTTCAGCCAAGGCCTGGCTTCGCCTGCCTCATGGGGCACAACCAACAGCAACTCACAAGGGCCCTGGGAAAGCACCTCCTGGAGAAATACCCTGTGGGGACAAAAATAACATGTTACGGATCCAGCAGGGTGTCCTGCTGAGTGAGCCTCCAACCACCATTCTCACCATCCTAGCACTCTTCTCCAAGGACTTCAGCTTTCTACAGCATTGTAGAGTGCTGTTCAAAAGTCAGTAGAGATGTGGCTACTCAGAGCAATCAGTCAGTTTTGCTCCTTTTAGCAACTTTAACTTCCAAAGTCAGTTGGGTTTTCATTACATGATATTTGGTATTATTTATGTATGATATGATATCTTTAGAGAATTCATAATATGGAAATAAAAACAAAAAAGAAGGCTACTACATCCTTGCAATTATTACCTGAGGTCAGCTTCACCACCAATTGGTGCTGGTGCCTTCAGTTTGGAGTCAAGATTATAATAGATGCCATCAAGCTGACGCACAGCAATCCAGTGGCGACGCCTCACAGGAAGAGACAGGAAACCCAGGCACACATTGGAAGGGACATTAACGATGAAGCCAACCAGCCCTGCCAGGGTCAATTGCTCGAGGGGTCTATACACAAAGAGAAAAAGGAGCTTGGCAGAGCAACTAGAATAATCTGGAAGACGAAAAAACAATTCTGAAATGGCCAGGAGAACAGGATGGTCTCACATCATGGTAAGCAGTTCCCAACTTAGTCAATCTATCAGTGAGGAAGTTCCAAAGACAGCCATAGAGAAAAGATTAGCAATCATGCCTCAAAATGCACAGCATGATGTGGCCTTGATTGAACTTTGTCATTTTTAAATTACAAGCTGCCTTAAGTAATGAGGCATGAAGGTGAGGGATGAATCAGTAAAGATAGTTAGGAAGAGAAGGTGAAGGCGAACACAGAAGTAGAGAATGACAGAAGCTTATTCTTAAAAAAAATACAATAACAAATTTGTAGTTGGCTGATTTTTGCCTGTTCAGAAAAAGTAGCTTAGCTAGAAAAAGTAAAGGGATAGGATCTTCCTTACCTTCGTTTATCCCACCAAACGGCTTCCAGCCCCACACTCTGAAGAGCTGCCATGATGACATTGACATCATAGTTCCCTGTTCCCAGAAAGCTACGGTGTGGATTCCACCTAGTATCAGGAGCCAGTCTGTGGGAAAAAGAGATGACAGACATCACCGGAGAAGGTTTGGAAAAAGAGGAAGGGGCTTCCCCTAAGTGTCAGGGGCGCATTTGGAATACTTAAGAGTATGATAGGAGTGCTCTCAAAAATGGTTTCCACAGTAAGCTTGGCTGATCCATTTGCTAGGGAATGTCTTTTTTTATATCCCATGTAGACCCTATTACATTCCTTAAATTATTTTAGCTTTTTCATTTTCTGTAGAAGCAGGCTCTTTCTCAAAAAAAGTATTGAGTTGCAATGACCTGTCATCTTTATTTTCTCAGGGTGCATACATGAGACTCCAAGGGCCATTTTTGAAAATACAGTTGATGCTGGAGCTGATACATCACAGCATATTACCTGGAATAGTAGAGAATGTTCCTAAGTTGCCATGAACATCATACTGGAGAGTCCAAAAATAAGACAGAGGGGAGGCCACTATACCTCACTTCCATTTTCTTTTCTTGCCTTCCCTTAAGGGAAAGACCTTTTTTTTCTGAAGTTATAATATGCCATGCCCATTGACAGTATTGTGCTATTATTTTTCTTTTCTTATCTCCAGCTGTCCAAAATAAGATGTGTGGGTTTTTAAAGCATGCATTCCATGTATTAACTTTTTGTTTATTTCAAGCTGGCAAAATCTTATACTCCAGAGAGCTACTCCTGGAAATATATTGAAAATAAAGGATGTACACTTCTTTATGTACAGCTGGTGCTTTGCCTTTTCCATAGACTTATGATACTCTAGGGAAGCCTCAGAGACTTCTACTTGCCCCAGAATAAGATTGTATAAATGAACAATAAATCAACCGACCCAGACTGCAGCAGATTCAGTATTTAAGAGGCCTACTTGTAGCTTACACCTGCTTCCATTGAAATATTGCTGAAGCTAAGATATTATCTTAATTGTACTAAACAATGTGCCACAATTACTAATAGTTTTAAATGAATACATGAAAGAATTCACAGCCACTTATGTGGAAGATGCTGGAATATCTATTATATTTATCCAGGGTAAAAATCTTCCTTCTTCATCACACTTGCTTTGCCCTGAGCACAATTAGTCAGATTCCAAAGAAACAAAAGAAGGCGGTGTCCCATTCAGGGGCTTGCAAATGCAAACAAAAGCAAAAAGAGATGGAGCCTTTTTTGTTATTTCTAAATAGCCACTTTATATTACTGAAGATTTGACAAGCCCAATATCCATTCCCTACTACCAGGAGACCTGCAGAGTTTACATTAAATAAGCCAGGAGGCTTAGAAGAGCATAAGGAGATTTGGATCCAGCATTAGAATATTTTATGGGAGTTCTCTAAGATAAAGCTTATGTATAATTCATTGCAAACACAATTTCACATGGAACTTAAGAGTTCATAGCTTCATGATTCTCAAATGGAAAAAGGACATGAAATAGTTTCACTCCACCTCTCTCGTCAATCAGAGTGTTCCACAGAAACCAAAACCAACAAATCACCACCCTTCTTCCTAAGGAAAAGATGGAATTCTAAGACTGAATATAGACAAAATATTTAAATAAAATAAAATCAATATTTCAAACTCCATCCTTCTCTACTTTCTTAAAAAGATTCTGGGGTATTCAGAAGCTGAAGCAATGTTAAACACTTCACCTCACCGAACAGAGCTCCAATCATATTTCTGAATAAATTTTCAACTATTAGATTTACATCATGAAAACAGATGATATATATACCAACTCACTGGCATAAATGTTACATAATTAATTTGACACCAAAAGTTTAAACCCTTAAGATTTTTTCCCCCTCTTCATTTTGACTCACTTATTTTAGTTCTTACCTGGAACTATAAACAGATGCTTGTCAGAGGTGTAATGTTTTTAAGGTTGGTATAAGAAAGTTAGAGCAATTAACTCTTGTAGAGATGCTCCCCTAAAGATCCTAATAAGGGAAAGAGCAGTCCCAAAGAGAGGCAAACCACCTACCTTTTACAGATTTCATCAGCTATCTCTTGGGTAAAGAGTCGTTCCTGCAGGACATTGTTGAGGGCGTGGACGGCACACAGTTCCAGGCGCTGTCTCTCATGATAAATCGCAGGTGTTTCAGTTTGGCCCAGATTCCCAGACATCACATCCAAACTGGCCTGAAAGGCCGTTCCCAGGAGATCAACCCTGGAGGAAAAAAACCAGTAAGAAAAGCATGGAATAGAAAACACATCCAATCAGTACAATCCCAGTAGCGGACAACGAGGTATTTGGCAGCAGCATTAACAACACTAGCTTCCCCTCTGACCCTTCTAGGCACCCGTAGATCCTCCCTTTGTGTAATTTTTTTTTCCAGCAATTCTTGTCCTCAAAGCCTTTCTTTTAGACCTCCTTGGTTCTCAAAGTCCACTTTCATTAGATAGACCTAATGTCTTCTCAACCTCTTTGCTTTTTTGTTTTCTCTGTCTCTTCTTTCTCCAGCTCGTATGCCTGCTAAGCTCTCTCTAGGATCATAGCAGCTCATCCAATAGATTCTCCTGGCTGCCCCACCCTTGTCAGATGCTAGGGAATCCCAGCCAATTGTTGACCAAAGCTTTAACTTTATGTTCATTATTGGCAGAACAAATGCCTTGAGTGCATCACAATATTAAATGTCTCCCAGAAGCCCAAGCAAATTATGGGAATTCTTAAGTACCATAGGATTGAAAAGAAAACAAAAAACAAAAAAGTCAAAGTATTAAAAGACCCAGAAGCCAAATGTCCCTTTATTTTAATCACCACAGTGCTAAATAAGTGGCTTAATGCATCCTGAGGGAGAGGGGCAGGGAGAGAAACATGATGCCCATCATATACAGTATTTGGATATTATTGTTGGGATTTAAATCCTGAATGAATGGACAGCATCAAATTGTTTTCCCTTAATTTAGACTGATCAGAATGAACACAGCCACTTTGTTGTGATGTACATACAGATCTTTCTGTTAAGAAATTGTGTGCTATAGTTATCCATTGCAAAATAATATGAAGGCAAGCCAGCCTTTCTGAGCCAACTTCATTTCAGATGTGATAAATTTCACTTTCTGAAAATTATGGAAAGTTGAATCCAATAAATCTGTTGGACAGCAGGTTGGGGAAGGCTATCTATGCCATGGCAAAACAATCCTTCCTTGGAAGATTATTCACTCAAACTTTTCTGAAGCATCATATACAAAGGAAATAATTATCCACAACAGTCAAGAAATTATATATATTTAAATATCAGCAATGTTGTGGCACTGATCATCACATTAAAAACTCCTGTTGCTAAGTTCCCAAGACAAGCAATATTACAGCAGTAAAACATTAATATTTCATTTTATGATACCATTGCATATGCGTTAAAATGTACACTAAGTATCACATCATGCCAAAATGACAGGTACTGGACTTATTACAAGGTAACGTACAGTAGTCATTACAACTTTCAAACTCGTAAGTCAAAATGAGGTAGCTAAAGACAGACTAAAAAAGATATTCCTATAAACTGTAAATTTGCTACCATAAACTGGTGCGACGGATGCAAAGGTCCTTATTATAACAAAGCTGAATTCTGTGCACGCTCGAAGATACTGCTCTTCAGGAGTGATTAACACTGCGCTGAAAATCATCCTCGGATGCAAATCTAACTTCCATACCCTGCTGCATGTTTCCTATTTTTTCCACCAACAGGAGAAACAGAAACTCATCAACATGAGCAATTACCAATTACCAACTCGTACCAGGGTGAGGGGGGGGGGAGTTTCGGAAAACCACCACCAGAAAAAATCAACTTACCCGGGAAAAAGCGAAAGTCCAATAAACGAGCCCCCCCACCATGACTTCCCCAGAAACGGCTGTTAAAGGCCAGGCTGACTGTGCAGAGATGGAGAAACTACTGCTCCCAGCAAGCCCTGGGCGTAACGATGAACTACAATTCCCGGCAGGTCTCACGCGTTTAAACGGAAGAAGGTAGGAAACCACATTTCCCAGAATGCAACAAAAGGAGAGGCAATTGCTGCGATTTAGTTTCCTTGAAAGAGACCACGGGAGGGAGTGTATTGATCGCAAATTCAAGAAGTTCGGCGTTCGTTATAATTTAGATAAAGATTACAGTATAGTTCCCAACCGGCGGATGAGAAATATTGTAACTGGAAAGTAAGTGGATTTGCAATCTTGATACAATATTTCGTTCAAAACACCCTGGACAGTTGCTTTGCAAAGGTGTAGGATTTTAACTGTTGTAAGTTAACCCAACTATACAAAGTTTAAGAAGGGCAGTTCATTCCAAGATTTAAATTGTCTTTATATATTATTATGTATTATATTATTATATTAATTGCTTATATATACTATAAGCAATTACTATACCAGGTGCAGAACACATACCCTTAGCGAAGTATCTATATTGACAGCAAAACTGCTCCCAGGACTTCTAAAAGCCAGGTTTTATTATTCTTTTGTTATTATATGTTTATTATTACGTGTGGGTAATTATGTTAGATTCACAGCCTAAGTTTAAGTACAAATTTAGTAATTCAAATCCTAACCATAGATCTAAGAATTATTAAGGGAGCATATATGAGCAGGATAGGTTTTTTTAAAAAAATAAATGAAATAAAATTAGAATATTTCAGTCTGATAAATTCAATATGTCCAGATATTGAGGAAGTCCTTTAGCTAACTCCAATGTCAGTTGACATAGCAACAGATTTTCCATAATAGTTCAACTTCAATCCAGTATTTCATATTTTTTCCCATTTTTTTTCTTCAATCCTGGATCACCTGGAATAGCAACATCAGTGAACCAGACTTTCTTTTTTTTCAGTATTGGGCATATTATGAAAAAGATGTTTGTCTGTTTGGATCTTAAAGTTCCCTAAGACCTGGTTATTTTTCAAAACTTTCTCAATTTGATAGTCCCAACAGTTTTTACAGCATTCAAAATGAGATCTCTGGCAAAATTTAGAATGAATAATTCTGACAACTTGTTCATGATGCTGTTTGTAGTCAATTTATTACTGCAGCCTTTGATCAAATGGTTAATTGTTTCATTCTTTTTATTACAACCAAGACATTTTCTGTTGTTTGTTACCTGTAGAATTTTCACCTTCATGCAATTAGTTGGCAAAGCTTGTTCTTGAGACATTAAAATAAACCCATCAATTTCTTTCTTTAACATTCCTGATAACCAATTCATGTGGATTTTTCAAATTTTGACCATGTATTGACTTATTCTTCTAATTAACAAATTGTTTTTAATTGTTTCTTTCTACATTCAGCCTTCACCTTTGTTATTTTCAAAAGCTTTCCTTGATTGATTTCCTTCATGCAAGAATTCTTGACTTTTCTTAACATAGTTAGTAATCAGGCCATGCTTTTCTTCCATTACAGCTTGTTTCACCTGCAAAAGTCCTTTACCCTCTTCATCTCTTGGCAAATACAGTTCATCAGTATCATTTTTGGGGGTGCAAATCATGGTATATTATCATAAGGAGTTTTTTTGTCTTCTGATCCTGGTAATCAAGTTCCACCTTGGTCCAATCAATTATATTGCTGTATATTGAATAACAGGGCCCAGATATTGTTTTAACAATGTTTCCACCATTTAGTTTTGATTTCAACATTTTACGAACTCATGTGATATATTTGGTTGAAGTACTTTCTTTGACTTGATTCTGTAATAAGGGAATAAATTCTTCCAAAATTATGAAATATTTATATCCTTCTTTTGGTGCTCTTGTTTTTATCAAATCTTCATTGTTAAGCTATATTCCCCCATCTTCAACAATTTTGCCTACCTTTATCGCCATAGTTACACACTTGTTGATACTAAATCACATTCCAGGAACCTTATTGAATCCTTTTATGCTTTTTAATAAGGAATCTAGTTCAGCCTTTGGTTTTCCAAATAATTTTAAATCATCCATATAGAGTAAATGCAGACTGCTTACTCATGTTTTGGCCAAGTCAAAGCCACAGTTTCTTTTGTTCCACTGATAGTATAAAGAGTAAAGGTGATAATAAATTAATTTGAAAAATTCCACATTTCATTTCAATTTCTCTTAACTCTTCCCTATTAACCACCAGCTTTGTTTGCCAAAACTTTATTGAGGTTTTTTCATAAATTGCCAAATTTTTCTGCTGATTCAATTTTTTTTTTAGATATTTCTCAGTTCAGCTATGTGAAAAAGAATCAAATGATCAAATGCTTTTTGTAGTCTATCCAGGCCAGGGGTAGGCAATTAATTTTCCCAAGAGAAACTCAGACTATTGTTGAGGGCTAAACCAATAGGGCTATGAAGGTGCATAGGCACATATGCACAGTGGTGGGATTCAAATAGTTGAACAAGTGGATGCCGCTTCCGGAAGTCCATTCTGGGCCTGGGCAACAAAAAATTAGCTACTGGTTCGCCAACTGGTGCAAACTGGCTGAATCCCACCACTGCACATGCACATATATACATACAATTGAAAAAACATAGCAGTCACTTTCAACATAAAAACAATGCAGTTGTATTGTGTGCATGGCACACTTATTTACATTTCATTTCTAATTTCCGATTCATATGGCTCAGACAAGAACAGCCAAAGGCCCGGTCAGAACACTGTTTAAATGCCCAAATCTGATCCAGGCCATAAACACATTTTTTTTCTTGAATTCCTTAAAACCAATTTATCAATAATAGCTATTATTATTAATAATATTTCAATCAACTTTCACCCCCCCCCCAAAAAAAATAACCAAATGGGGAGAGTGATTTAATTTCAGAGACAGTGCAATTCCAAAGAAGGGGAACTATGAGGATTTCGTCATCATAGTCCAGAAGATGGTAGAGGACAGAAAGGCCTGGAGGAACTTTGTCCATAGGGTCGCAATGGGTCGGACACGACTTCGCAACTAACAACAACAGTCCTTAAGCATGATCTTAAGGGGAAGGAGGGAGACATGCTCCTAGATCTTATTGGACAGGTAGAAACCAATGAAAGTAAGTGATCTTATACAGTATACAGTATACAAGTCCTAAACTATGTAGGCTTTAAAGGTGACAACCAGCATGTTGAATTGGACCTTGAAGGTCACTTTTAACCAATATAGGTCCTGGAGGTATTTATATGGGAACATTTATTGAGCTTCATCATTCAGCTGCAATATTTTAGACCATTTGAACCATCTGATTAATCTTCAAAGCCAACCCATGTAGAGTTCATTACAATAGTTCAAAAGTTTGGAAGATGTTCTAGATCACGGGTAGGCAACCTCGGTTTTTTATGACTCATGGACTTCAACTCCCAGAATTCCTGAGTCAGCATAGCTAACTCAAGAATTCTGGGAGTTGAAGTCCATGAGTCATAAAAGAGCCGAGGTTGCCTACCTCTGTTTTAGATATATAGGAAACTACCATTGTAATCTTTATGGTATGTTATATTTGTTGGATTTCTGTTTATAAATGATAGGCTCTGGTAAGAAAAAAAGGCAATAGTTCTTAATCTAGGAATAAGCAGTGTGCTATGAGTACAGATATGTTCAAGGACATATAGTCTGCATAGCTTCTTGCTCAACCTGATCTTATCATTTAATCTAATTTTAAAAATAACAACAAATGAATAGAAAAAAAAATGCTGCTAAATGCCAGGTTTTACAATCACCTTTCTTTATAAGAATGCCTCTGGCATCAGCAAACATTCTCACAAAATAAAAAATGGTATAATTTCAGTTCAGTGCTTTGCTTGGAAATGTGTCTACTTCTTATTGTGGAGGCAGAGAACATTCAGAGAAACAAGATGAAGTTTCTGCGAGTACTACTAATAGTTTTTATGCCATTGTGGCAGCCATTTTATGAATAAATGAGCTTCCATCAGCCATTTTGTGTGTATTTATTACATGCTGACAAAATTCTAACTACACCTATCTGTCCAAAAGAGTTGCTACCTTTGTCTTAATTTCATTCAGTTCTGTAAAATGCTGAAAAGGCATCCATTCTTTACAAGTTTTCCTAAATAGATAAAAATGTCCTCTGATGCTAAAATGCTGAAAAGGTACCCACTATTTACAACAGTTTCCATAAACACTGTACATAAATATCCCTTTTGAGACCTACAGAGATCTGGATATGGCCAGTGCATTTTCTTGGTAACATCATAGTAGTATTTTATTCCCACTGATTTCTGGGGTGATTTTTGGCTTCAGGTCCAGCCTAAATTTCTGAGCCTAGTCAAGGTCAGCTGAGCAATAGCACCTGCTAAGATGTTCACATTTTGAATTTTGGAGTTTGCAACCTCAGCATAGTTGAAAGACGCTAAATTGGGGGAGCATGCTTTGTAACATGAAGTAACATTGTTGAGATAGATAGACAGACAGACAAACAGACAGACTCAAGGATATTGGGTAGCAGTGAACAATGTTTTCAGACATCCTCTAGCTCAGAGGCCTCCAACTTTTGGGCACCAGGGATCGGTTCTATGGAGAAAGATTTTTCCGTGGGCCAGAAGGGGTGTGGTTTTGTGTGTTGCCTGCATCCACTTGTTTGCGTGGCCCAGTTGCTGGTAAGCCACGGCCCGGTGCCAGTCCACAGCCCGTGGGTTGGGGACCCCTGCTCTAGCTATTCTCCTTTGATGTTTGAAATAAGTGGGATGTCTCATAACTTAACAGACAGCAAAGCGTTCTAATTTCTTCATGAAGCAATGTTATTCTGACTACTATAACAACATTAAATGATCATTATCTCTATGTAATAGCTAATTCAGGAGATCTAAAGCTCTCCAAATTTTACCTATTAGGATCTTCAGTTTGACTTAATAAACTTACTGCACTAAAGACTGTGAAATTACTTAAGTTGGGTACTAATTAAGTCCTGTATATTTCAAGTCACACCTAATATTGATGGAACAAAGAAGCTCATAATGGGAGATTTTCTTATAAGAATTCTTCAGCTGAATGACAGCTTCAAGTTAAATGCTAATTATGTCAAGTTAAAAAAACAGAATCAAATGGAATTTAATAATTAATTATTCTGTTCCATTTAAATGGAAAAGTTGAGAAAAGAATATTAAGGAATCTTGCTGTGTAAGGATATAAATATTGGGAAAATAGATTTTTCAAAAATATTTTTTCCACCTTTGTTTTTTTTTTAATAAATGACTCAAGATGGCAAACATATCTGGTAATCTTTCATTCTCCTATTGTCCCCACAACAACAACCTTGTGAGGTGAGGTGAGCTGAGACAGGGGGACTGGCACAAAGTCACTCAGCCAGGCCTAAACCTCATTTCTGATGCCTTAATCACTAAATAAACTTTTGTGCTTCTCTTAACTGGCGTTATGCATTTAGCAGGAGATTGGCCGTCTTTCCAATGTTGCAGTTAAATATCACAAGTGCTATGTACAAGAGCCATTTCCCACCTGTCTCTAACCAAGATGTTGTTTCTTAAATCTGAGAGCTGCATTTGGGCTTATCAGTGGTACACATCCCAAAGTAGTGGATAGGGTCAGGATAAGAATTACATTTGAATTAACTTTCTATACTAATAAATAAGGAAAGTGCTAGTTCATATGGTTGCAAAGCTAGGTTGACAATTTGCAACTCGCATTCAAAGCCCAAGTGATATTGTGTGACAGGAAAAGCTCCCATCATTCACTCCAGCTCCTGCCCATCTAGCAGTTCAAAAGTGTGTAAAAACATGAGTAAATAGTACCACTTCGGTGGTCTCATTAACAGGGACATGAAAAGAGCTCCCTACTGGTTGTCCTCCCAGGCAACAGTGATGTTACTGGGAGATCCTTTCACCACGGAAGTGCTTCAGTATATACTAATGAATAAAATTATATTGTAAACTAAACTCAAATATAATTAATTAGATTATCTGTTGATCATGAGTTTTATTATTTCTTCCACCTATTATATTAAATATGTCAATTTGGTAACAACTTCGGGAGGCATTCAAGGCTTTGGAAGGCCACATGGGGCCCCTCCTTGGATTTCAGAGCTTGTAGCTCTGCTCTGTTCTAAAATGCTCAGGATTTCTGGCACAGCTCCCTTGAGACATCCTTTTGATAAGCATACAGTAATGCAACCTGCTCTCAAATAACATACTGTCAGATCTTTAAGCATCTAGCTAAAAGCAAAAATGATATTCCTAAGCACAATTGTCACCGTTCCTCTTTAACAAGATTTATTGAGAAGAACGAAATGGGATTACAAGAATTCCAGCAACTGAACTTTGTCTCATTTGAATCAGTTTATCCCCATGTCATATTTATTATTTTTATAAATAACTCAAGGCAGCAGACACACACAATATTACTTTCTCCTCCTATTTTCCCTGCAACAACAAACCTGTGAGGTGGGTTGGGTTGAAAGATAGTGACTGATCCAGTTATTTTACCAAATTCCCCCAGTTTCGGTGTTGTTTCAGATGTGTGGACCTCCACTCTCAAAATTTTCAGCTGGTTATGGGGATCTGCACATTTGCAAGGTGTTCAGATTGGAGAAAGTTTATTTATTTGACTGACAAACTGAAACCATCTAAGATGTGTGAGTGGGTTTCTTCTGCTTCCTTTAAGAAAGCGCTGCTACCTTTCTTGGTTTTCCCATCCCATTGAACTACCTTTCAGGTATCTTCTTTGTATCTTCTTAGGAATAAATCTCATAAACCTCAGCACAGATAGACTCGGCCTCCATGTCCTTGGCATACTATAGGAAGGAAAAGAGAACGGATCATTGAAGGCCTGGGTTATTGCTTCTGTCTCCCAAACCTTATTCTTAGCCAGCTCCCTTATAATATCCAGATTGTCTGAATCAGAAATTTGCTTCAGTACCTAAACAAAAATAATTAATTTCCTCAGCCATTTCCTGTTTGCTAAAAATATTGAAATTGGGCCCTTTTGAAAAACAAAGCTGGACTCTTGAGAAAAGGAGTAAAAAGTTGTGGAGGAAAGAGAATAATTTTTCAGGTTCTAAAAAAACCTCACAGAAGCTAGCACTTATACTTCAACTTCAGTGATCAAGTTATTCTAAGAAATAGGGAAAATTAAAACATTTAAGTAGAAATATTCTTTAAGATTAGTTTTTATTTTAACAATATGAGAAGTCTATTTTCTCTGGTGATTATTACCTCCGTACAATTGTCTTAGTCATATGTTTTATGCAAGTGGCTCCTCTGTAAAGCAGAGTTTGCTTCTATATTAAGAATAAGTAATTTATGAACCACTTACAACCTTATCTTTTCTTGCTTATTTTTCTACTGGAATTCCTTCTAAGATGCTGTGTGTGATTTTAACAGCTTCGTGTCTTTAATCTTGTTTCTTTTTCTTTTTTAAAGTAAAGTTTGATTCTATTTGTCTCTTTTAAAATTGATCTCTCCACATAGGAAGATGCAGAGGAAAGCCTGATTTCTTAGTCACAAATCTCAGTTTTATAGAGAGTGACACTTTTATTAGGTGCACCTACCTATTTCACCTGCTGAGATTTGGGAAAGGACATCATGGCTTTAGGGGGAAATGTTTAAAACTTCCATCTTTTTCTCATAGAAGCTAAATCCTGCTGCTAGAGTCCCTCCCAAATATTGGGGAAAAATGATTGAATTCATGGGGACCTTTGCCCAAGAAGGGCTACAGCCTTTACTTTTCAGGTTTTTTAAAATTTATTTATTTATTTTTAGATTAATATTCTGTCTCAAATTGGGGCATATTATCCTCCCCTCAATGTGGGGTCCCACTTCAAACTGTAGCTCATATTGTGACCGGCTTTTTTTTTTTTTTTAGAAAAGAGTGATGTGGTTCCTGGGCCTTTGACTTGGGCACCAAGGCATACAATAATCCTACCTGCACTACTCCAGTTAATTATATAATAATATGCTATAAGGAAGTGGCTGTAAACTGAGGGCATATGCCGGTTTAATATTTGATTTTTTTATTTTTATTTTTAATATAAACAAAATGTGCTTTAATGGTTAAATGGCCTAGACATTAGTATTTCAACATAGATCTTTTTAACATTTATATTTTATGGTGTTTTATTAATCTAGGTGAAAGGTTAATATATATTGCTAGTCCATGTATGATATGCCATATGCTAAATAAACTTAACCACTATACTATACTTTCTCTCTGTCTATGCTTTCTTAAACTGACTCCTAATCACCATAAATGATTAGTCAGGATTAGAACAAACTAACCCACATCTAGATGAAGAATTCATAGATTCTGGATAAGGGAGGGTTTTCATCCTTACCCAATAGGCTGCTCCAGAAAGTAGCAAAGGTGGCTGACCCTGTAACAGCCCCACAAGCAGCTGGGTTCTTGCGACTGGTGCTGACTGAGAAGCCCCCTGGCCCTGTTGCTTCAATCATCACCACATGATAGTCAGGGACACTGCAAGATAAAATTGTGCTCAGTTAGACCAGATGTTTAGAAGAAAAATGACACAAAGCCATGAGCTTGCTGGCACATGCTTCACACCAGTGTTTCTCAACCTTGGGAACTTTAAGATGTGTGGACATCAACTCCCAGAATTCACTAGTTAACATACTGCCTGGGAATTTTGGACGTTAAAGGCCGTAATTCTTAAAATTTCCAAGATTGAGAGACACTGCGTTTACACCATAGCAGTTTCAGAAAATGGCTACCATGATACTTGTGTCCAGTCACAAAATATTCATTTATCAAGAATATAACTGCAACACCAACTGTAACCCTCAGAATATTCTCCAGAAATATGAGTTTTCTTTAAAAAAAAAATTGGCATCAAGGGTTTCTACAGTGTATGTTTTTTTTAAAAAAAAAGACAAGATGGCTACATGGTGATCAAACTCCTCCTTTTTATGACTATCATGGCAATCATCTTGACTTTTCTGACATATAGTGCTGCCAGTTCTGCTTGGCATTCTCCCAAACAAATCTTTAGGCTTTTTTTTTTATTCATTCCTTTTTTTCTGAAAATGCCTGCAGGCCCTATTTGGGGAACAAGAGAAGTCTTGTAAATAAAGATAAGGCATGCAGGTTTCTCATTTACATTTTAAAAGACTGAAATAAACTTTTTTAACAAAAAAAAAACACCAAATAAAAATCAGGCATGCAAGATGTGCATTAGATACTAAGAGAAGGATTCACGGGTACCAAGTTGCTTACCCTTCAGTTCAAAACTTACTTAGGATCTGCCACCAGGCAACCTTTTACACCATCGAAGCCCAGACTTGGAGCGGCAATGCAAGCTGCTGCCATCGTGTTGACATTGTTGGGGGCCAAGGGACACAGACCCCGCACAGGGCCATTGTACAGCACCATGCTTTCCTCCTGATCTCCCTTTGTAAGCTCCCCAAGAGACCCACTCAACCGGAAGCTGTCCGGGTGTTTAGTCATAGTGACTGTTAATGCCTAGAAAAAAATAGAGTATTGGAGAAGTCACGAATCCTTAAATATACCTTTCTTTCTAACCTTTTAAATAGTAGAATCCCAATCCAAAGATTTCTACTTCTGAATAAGAATACAGGAAAGTGCCTTACATTAATTAATATGTTTTGTTTTGTTTTGTTTTCTGAAGTATACATTGCTTGGCTGAAAGTTTTCCAGTATTTCAAACTGGCTTTTTCCACAGCTGCATTTGATGTCAGTAATTCCCCAAATATTTATGTCCAAATTTCCTTTTATCAACATAGATTTTCTCTTACATCAACGTTTCCTATCTGGACTTAAGACACAACTCCAAGATTTCAATTGCAATTACTACAATTCCTTTGCAGGCTGGGAATTCTGAAAGACGCAGCCCCATGTTTTATAGATACCACTAGGTTAAGGAAGCTACCCTACCCCATTTCTCTGTAGGCACTTACCTGGAGCATCCCTGTATCATCCAACCTTTGAATGTCTTGGCCACCCCATAGAGCCCCACTGGGGATGTAGAGTGTGTGTCCAGTCTTTTTTGCTACTTCACGTAATCTAAGCTCAGTGTTCACATCTGCTAGGGCTGTTGGTGATCCCACCTAAAGGACATGGAGATATTTGCACTGCTGATGCTGGGAAATCTGGAAGAAGAGTGCTTCAGGACAATATATTTACTGGTTCTCTCCAATTATTGAGTGCAAAATAATTTAATTTGATAAGACAAAGGAGAAAGAAACAGAAACCAAGTACACATAGCATACTAACATATAAATGTGATTTATTTGATTTAGACTAGGCTTTCACAAGCTGACACCCCAAATATGCAAATTTCAACTCCCAGATTTCTCAGTAATGGCCATGCTTACAGGGAATTCTGGGAATCAGGCTATATATCTGGAAAACGCCATGTTTGGAAATGCTAATTTAGACCATATTCTGTGATCCAAACTCATGTCCACCCTTACTGGACTCCAAGAGTTGTTAAAACTTAGTGGCATAATTTTTCTACCATAGAAAACATGAAAACAATACCACAAGTCTTTAAAAGTAAGCTTAACATAATCTACACAACAGAGAAAATATCAAACTTTCTCCTAAAACACCAGAACAAATAGCAAGTCCCTGCTATGTACATAACGCAGTCAAGCACAATTTCCATTATTGTTTCACTCTCTATGATCCTTGATCCCTTCCAAAACATTGAATGGTCTCTGATCACCCAAAGTTCTCTATTCCTACTAAAATCCATGAATTAGAGTCTTTTGCATGTCACATTTAAAGCAAGATACAAATATAAATTTTAAAAAAACATGCTGATGCTGCCTGTCTCTGTCTGTAGGCAGCTGTAGTTCTCACCATAAAATCTGCAGCTTTAAGGAAGAATTCCCCATAATCTTGGGCAATGCAGGGATGTGCCACTTCAACAATGACATCAGCATGGCTTTGGAAAGAAGCAACAAACATAATAACAAGAGGCTATATTGACAATACCAGTGCAGTACCTAGATAACAATCCATTTCCCCTTCATTTTGTAATCACTGAAAAGTTTGTCTTTAATGGACCAACTCTTGCACTAAATCTCAAAAAATAATGGCATTCCTCCCTAAGATCCCTTGAGATTCACACAATGTGCCTTGAAGTTCAGCCTTCCCCAGCTTGATTGACCCATAGGTATTCAGTCACAACTCCCAATTATTCCCCATCCAGTAGGATAGTGACATGATTACTGAAGTCTAGACTTCCTGAGGGCATTACATTTAGTCAGAGAAGATTGGTTTAATCACAGAATCTTCCTCAGGTTGGGGAATGCTGAACTATTTTCATCAACAGCAGCACTCCTGGGCTGTTGTCAAGTGTCCTCTTGGTCCCTGTGTAGAAATGCTAATGTTTGAATGTGGGATCTTCTACTGATACACCTTTATTAGGTTTGTATTTCATCTTTCAAGGCAGCTAAGAAAAGTGAAATTCAAAACAAAAGACAACCATCAAAACCTAAACGTAGGTGTATCAAACATCAACCTAGTCAGTCAGAACAAATAAATGTGAGGCAATTCTGCCTAGGTTTGCAGTAGCTCAAACAGTCAACTTACAAAATCAAGTATCTGTTTGAATAAATATACCTTTGAATGCCAGTGGAAGGTCATCCATTTCCCCTGGCAAGAATGCCAATAGAGAACATGTCTTCCAAATGAGAAAACTGTAATAATTTTGAGAATAAACACTGGCTACATTGTGAATCATCAGTTGAAGGCATGTCTACCTAGACATGTTCTTCAATAAAATTCAACTCAGTTTCTACAGAGATAATCCATACAGTATATAGTATATGATTATTATAATCCAAAATCAGGGAGCTAAGAATTGGTCTAACATCTTAACAACTGCCTTATGCTGACTGCTAAAAAATGGGAAGTACTCACATTAACTACACTTACTTGATTTTAATTTTGTCAAAATCAAATCCAGTTTGATTTTTTGTACTGGAGCATAGCCCAAGCAGACTACTCAGAGGTTGAATGTGGCTTTCAACTCAATGTAAGTAGTCCTTAACTTACAAACTTTGCTTATTGGAAATCAGCTGGGAAGGTTGAAAATGATGATGACATGACCCTAAATTTTTGCAACCATTATAAATGTAAGCCAAGCACCCAGATTGCAATCATTTGAGCATAGGAGTGTTGCAATGATCCTAAGTATTTTCCCTATCTTAACTGTGAAACGGCTTGTCTGCTCACCATTGTAAAAAATCTGTCAACTTCCCCAACCTCAGCTCCACTGGTACAGTGTCCTCCATTTTGCTGGCATCCCGGTTCCAAACAAAAGCCAGCTCCAAACCATGTTGGAACCCTTCATCTTGGATTCGTTTTGTCAGATACTGGCCTGAAGATTGAAAATGAAATAGTAATTTTCACTATGGTGGACTTAGCTCTCTCATGCACCTGCTACACTTCAGATATGGGACAAAAATTCTGGCATAATTGCCACAGTTTTGCTATGATTTTGTCTGGAAGTGACTCAATGTTAATAATTTCCTTTGTTTAGAACCTCCAATGATTTGGGGGGCTGTTAGGTACTGGTTGAGTCTATGCATGTCAGGTTATGATATAAATTGCCTAATCATGATTATGCCCAAGCATAAATCATGGTTTATATAGCACTAAGCCAAAACCAAGCAAATCACATTATAGCTTAGCACAATGGATGTGTTTTATGAGCTTCAAAAAAGATTTGTTTGACCACCATTGGAAACAGAATGCTGAGCAATACATTAATCTTTTTTCAGATCCAGCAAAATAAACCTTCAGTACTTAGGGGGGGGGGAGAAAGCACATGTACAAGAAGACAGAGGCTTGTTTTATTAGCCCAAAGCAAAAATCAATGAAAAAAATCAGAAGGCGGGGGTTGTAGATACTGACAGTTACAGTAAACTAATCAAAACTGAAATAACAGCTTGGCATTTGCTCCAGGTCAAAATCAAGACCTAAGAAAAAGTCTGGGTTTGAAAACTGAAAATATGAGTCTTTGGAGAAATGCATTTGACTGCCTCTAGCGGAGGAGTGGGAAATTTGTAGTAGCTAAAAGCTGAGCTGTTTTTATATGCTCCCCAGGTGATAGGGCAGGTAATGTGATAACACAGAGTGGGTGGGGCAATGTTTGCAGAGATTTAAGGCACACATTATACTCCCTAATTCCCCTCACACCATTGCAAAAAGTTTTTTTAAAAAGATTTTAAGGGTTAGCATAGATGTCTTAAGCTTCAGCAAAGTCCTCGGTAAGTCCTCCCCCCCCCCCAGCTATTCTCTTTTCTTCCCTGAAGAACCAAAGCATTTGGCCGAACACACAGATTTTTTAAAATCGCTTTTGAAATAAAAAGACACCCATGTTTTCACAAATTGGGCAATCTTGTTGAAAGTAAGTGCTCATAATAAAGGCAAAAACTACAAGTTCCTTGTCTATTAGCAGATTCAGTGAATGGGGAGACTAATAAGACAAATATGGTCAAGAAATGCTACTTACCTAGATGTCCATAGCCCACAATTCCAATCCGCCTCTTCCTTTGGCCTCCAAACATTTGGCCTGCTGTGAGACAAATAGTCACAGAAAGTTGTCTGACAAAGATAGAGCAGAGCCTGAGGTATTGCACTGGATCCCATATTTAGGCCCCAGGGTATTTCATGTTTATCTAGCCTTTCCTAGTGAAGCTCAGGCTACCTGTCTTCCTGCATACTATTTTTTTTTCTTGCAAAGTAGGTTATAAGTCAAGGGAATGCCACAAAGCTATCTGGGGATTTCATGGCTGAATGGGGATTTGAATCTGATATCCTAGTTCAAGAGGCTCTGACTCTAATATGCTAGCTTGGCTATTGAGCAAAACCATCTTCTCTGCACTTGGAAAGGAGGAAAAGAACTGCAGTTAATATGTACAAAATGCAAATATAAACAAGAACTTGCAATTCTATAACTGAAATGAGGCAAACTTCTTAACATGCATATAACATGGTATATGTTGGCTCAGATCCTTAATGGCTGAGGATGATGGGAACAGTAGTGCGACATATCTTGAATGGTGCTGATAAAGAGAGATAAAGAGAGGCTGTGCACATTTGCCATTTCAAGATTTCTGATTAGTTCAGCCACTCAGTCATTCATGGCTGCATGTGCAAATGAATTCACTGTGAAGCAACAGGGATGAGTCAGAATTTCTAATCTTATTGCTCATTCAGACATGCAAGTCATCATTTGATGTTGCCATTAATAATTGATGGATGAGAAAGCTCTGGGAAAGTATCTTAGTTTCCCATTCTCTACTCATCCTCTGAGTCTTCAGTTCCCATTTTCATTCATACACACACATGCTGGCACCAGGTGCTTCTCTATATGATCTAATCAAATCTATTATTCCTTCCAATTCCATGCTCAGGCTGCATGAAAGGGAAGCTTGGGAAAACCCCAAGGTCTGCAGGAATGGAAAAAATATCTTTGGGACTTGAAGCTAAAAGAACACCCCAAACATCTTAAAGTAGCCTGAATATGTTGGTCTGCAAGGAATGACGTCTGTTCAAATGGAACAGAATGGAATGATGTGGCCTGAAACTGAAAGGGAACATTTCATCCTGTAACTTATTATTTCAACTCTTACTCACAGATTTACTTTGTTAAATATTCTATCTTAATATAGCTTTTACTCCTCCTCTTGCTTAATATCCCCAGCTCCCCTTCTATGTTGAGGTGACTCACCTGGTTTAAGTTGTGTTCAGATAGCTGCAGGATAATGGGGGAAAAAGAGGAAAGTTCCTGAGTTCCTTTGGCTGATCATTTCTGGAAGGGCATTAATTATTAACCCAGGCTGGCCTGTAACCCTTATTGAAATGGTTGCTTGCAGAATTTCTCAAAAATAAAGCTGTCTCTTTGGCTGGCTTGGAAATATGGCCACAATATCACACAACCTTTCCAACAACTGTAAGTATCCCACATCGTATGCTCCCTCCTGAGCATTGAAGTCTTAAGTCCTATTAACTAAGCTTTTATAATGGACATAATTCGCACACTTGACTGAAAATAAGTTTTAATTTGTAATGTGCCCACTGCATAGAAATATCAATGTGCTTCTAGATATTTCCCTTGATATCTGTCAGATCTCCTGACCCATCTAATTTTGTACATCTTGAAAACATTCTTTTAATTAAAATGGGGAACTCTTCAGCATCATCTTTAATTCTAAGAATGCCTCTGAGCCTAAGGTTGGTCCCATAAGCTTTCTTAGAAAATAAAAATGATAGGCAACTTACAGTTCAGTGCTTTGGATATGATCTATCTATACAGAAAAAGAATGAGAATCGAGAGTTAGCAGATAACATTTTGGTAAATTGGGGTTTTGTGACTGGTTATCCCAATGTCATAGACACAACATATTTTTAAAATTCCAAAGGTACCCACTGGTCCCCAAATAATCAACTATGCATGTGAAAAAATTATGAGCCCACCTAAAATGTGTTTACTCAGGGATAAATTCTATTAAGCTTAGTAGAACTTATTTCTTAGTAAGCATGTTTACAGCTGCAGCCCCAATTTTTCAGGTCAATGAAACTGTGGTATGACAGGGTCAGTTTAAAAAAAGGCAATAATTTACTTGTGACTGTTCATACCTATTCACCTTGTTCACCTTTTTTCTATTAATGCTATAAAATTATATTGTTTTCTTAAAGCTTTCCAACCTTTGAGGGCCAGCAGGCACATCTGACATTTTGAAAACATGTTGTGGGCACTCAATGAAAATGGCTGTCATAGGGAGGGCTTGCTCCTTCCATAAATGGTGGCTAGATAGTGGGTGGGGGGAATTACAAAGCACTCAGAGGTTAAACTAGTAGGATTGCTACTAGCCAACCTCTTTAGCAAGCTTTTCCTTCCCTTCCCCACCAATTTGTTGAGCATTTGGGGATAGCCACTCATCACTTTTATAACATCCTTGGGATCTGTGAGATACATCCAAGGGTCTCAGGGAAGCAAATATTGTACTGGATGCTGGTACTTTTTTTTTTATTTTCTAGAGTGCTTCTTATGTTCCAGTTTTCAGACTTATAGAAGTTAAAATGGGATTGAGGTGAAATCAGGAATACGTCCATGAGGGCATTGACACCATGAACATTGAGCTAAAGATCCCAGGATTAGACAAGGGGTAATTAACAAGTGTAATTAATTAACTGGAGCTAACATCATTCTGGATTCATCATCACCACCACCACCATTATCACTACCAATTTATATTTTCTTATCCTACCAATGGTATGAAACATATGTGCAAATTCTATAACAAACATTTTGTTTCTGATTTATGTAATTATTCTTGGAGTTAGTATCTTCCTTTTAGCATAAAATTCTGCAGTTACTGGGCAAGCGCTATCCTAATAAGTTCTGTTGTCACTTTTAATTCCAGTTTATTATAACTCCTCTCTATTTTTAAATAGATTTTGGCATGTTTTCATTTCATCTAACCTTTTTCTCTCTGCAGTAGCAAGCTTGGGTTTTTCTTACTTCTTCCCAACCTCCCTCTTGTTTAATAAAAGCTGAATTTGCACAATTGCACTGGTGAACTCATAAACAAGCAATACATTGAATGTACCTTTCCAAAAAGTTATGCTTCCGAAGAGGAGCAGAACTTGAGAGGCGATTGGGAAGCAGATGCATTAAGCTGTTGTCTGAATGAATATCAGAAAAATAAATAAAAAGTTATGCTAAATGTAGGGAATGATACAACTTGGGTACAGGATGAACCAAAGGCTGAATCCCCCCCAAAAAACACCACAAAAAAGCAACAAACCTTTTCCTTTTATCTCAATGGATATTCCACATAATTTGAGAGCTACAGTATATCTGCATTTACTGGCTTTTGAAACATAAACAGCATCCATTTTTTCTTTCCCTTTTCTAATAAAAATCAGCTTCAAAGGAATCTCCCTAGAGATCACAATGGGGAAAAGAAGGATTAAATTTTCCTTTCACTTGTTCCAGTTCTGATGGCAACTTGCAACTTTATTTTCCTATCATGTGAAGGTATCCTGCTGGATCCAACTGGCTGTATTTTTCTATCCTCTGGTTTTTTTCTTATTTTGATTGAGGTTGTCTTGTTAAATGTGTGTTATATTGCATGCTTCAATTTTCCCCTTTTCCTTCAACCATGCTCTACTTTTACTCATGGTGTTTGAGAATGTATTTTGTTTCGATCTGCTAATCGAAACTTGGTTTGAATAGAATAGAGCTGGAAAGGACCTTGGAGGTCTTCTAGTCCAGCCCCCTGCTCAAGCAGGAGGACCTATATCATCTCAGACAAGTGACTGTCTAGCGTCTTCTTAAAAATCCAGTGATGGAGCACCCACAATTTCTGGAGGCAAGCTGTTCCACTGGTTAATTGTCCTCATTGTCAGGAAGTTTCTCCTTAATTCCAGGTTGCTTCTCTCTTTGATCAGTTTCCAACCATTGTTTCTCATCCTTCCCTCTGGTACTTTGGTGAATAACATAACCCCTTCTTCTTGGTGGCAGCCCCTCAAATACTGGAATATTGCTATCATGTGTCCCCTATTTCTTCTTTTCTTTAGACTAGCCAAACCCAAGTCCCGCAGCCATTCTTCGTATGTTTTAGTCTCTAGGCCTTTAATCATCTTAGTTGCTCTTCTCTGATTTTTCCCCCCAAACTCTCAACATCTTTTTTGTGATATGGTGACCAAAATTGGCTGCAGTATTCCAGGTGTGGTCTTAACTAGGGTTTTATAAAGCGGTACTAATACTTCACGTGATCTTCATTATATGTCTCTGTTTATATTAGCTTTTTTGGCTGCTGCTGCACGCTGCTGGCTCATAGTCAAGTGATCATCCACTAGGACTCCAAGGTCCCTCTCACAGTTACTGTTTTTAACCCAGGTCTCACCCAATCTGTACTTGTACCTTTGATTTTTTCTGCCCAAATGTAAAACATTGCTTTTCTCCACATTAAAACTCATTTTGTTGGATAGGGCCCATTGTTCAACTTTGTCAAGATCTTTTTGGATCCAGAGTTTGTCTTCTGAGGTGTTGACTACTCCTGCCGGTTTGGTGTCATCTGCAGATTTAATGAGTTCTCCTTCAATTCCCTCATCTAAGTCATTGATGAAGATATTGAAGAGTACTGGGCCTAAGATGGAACCTTGTGGTACCCCACTGCTTAATTCTCTCCATGTGGATTTAATCCCATTGAGGACTACTTGTTGAGTACAGTTTGCCAGCCAACTACAGATCTATCTGGGGGTGATGTTGTCTATTCCATCTTTTTCTAGCTTACCAAAGAGTAGGTTGTGGTCTACTTTATCAAATTCCTTTCTGAAATCTAAGTATACTACATTCACAGCATTTCGCTTATCTACTAGTTTAGTCACTGTATCAAAGAATGAAATAAAATTGGTTTGGCATGGTCTGTTTTTAACAAACTTGTGCTGGCTACTAGTTATAACTTTGTTTGCTTCTAGTTGTTCACAGATCTGTTTTTTGATGATCTTTTCTAGGATCTTCCCAGGTATTGATGTTAAACTGATTGGTCTATAG